TATTTTTTTTTAATAGCAGTAAGGCTGAAATATCCCAACATAATATATTACCTTATTCACTTTTTGGTGAGTAAAATAACCCTCCAAAATTCAAATTCCTAACTTTAACTAAGTGAGGAATTGGGCTACAGGGAAAAAATGATTATAATAGCAGATTTCAGTTACACAATTATTCTGTGTTGTAACGCTGTGAAAGAAAATTGAGCAAAAATGTCAAACAAACCAAAACATATTCCAATTTTCCCAAGAGTCCATGTTACTGACAGGACAAATTTGAAGCTGCTTTTAAAAGTTTTCTCTATCAACAGAAATAGCAATATAATTTAGGTTTATATATTGCCCCATAGCACTTTACAGTACTCTCTGGGTGGTTTACAATGTACAAGTAATATTTTCCATATTGCCTCCAACAATCTGGGTATTTTACCCCCTTGCTGAATATTGCAAAATAAATCTCTAAGTTGTTCCACCATTTCAGCTTGCAAAGTTTTGTAATACACTGCAGTCAAACCGTCCGTGCCAGGAGCTTTGGCTGTTTTTAACTGTTTAATTGCTACTATTATCTCCTCCTCTGTTATAGGATAATTCATTCTTTCCTTTTGTTGATCAGTAATTTTTGTAACTCTTTTATCGTTTAGATATTTTTCTATAAGTCCATTCTGCACCTCCTCTTTAGCATATAATTTAGTATAATAGTCCACAAAAGCTTCTTTAATTAATTTTTGTTGAAAAATTTCTTTCCCTCCAATATCAATACTATCAATAGTCCGTATACTTTGTTTTTTCCTCAATGTGTAAGCCAACCATCTGCCCGGTTTATTAGCATTACAAAATGTGTTATGCTTCGCATATTGTAAATTTGTTGCAACTTGTTCCGCCATAAGCATTTGAAATTGGTCTTTCAAAAGTTTTATAGCACTACGTATTCTTTCATCTGTTGGATTTTTAATAAGTAGCTGTTCTTTATTCTTTATTTCTATTTCCAATTCAGATCTTTTCTTTTGTCGGAACAGTCTATGTTTAGAGTTCATGTAGATAAGTACCCCTCTCATATAAGCTTTACTTGCATCCCACACAATTTCAATTGGGGTACCTTTATTCAAATTTATTTCAAAAAATTCTTTCAGATGCTTTTTAAGTTCTGTTGTATTTTTTTTCATATCTAAACAAATTCTCATTTAATCTCCAAGAACGTCTCTCAACCTTATCCATCTCCATTTCTATCCATACTGGGCTATGGTCAGTCAAAGTTCTTGGAAAAATCTTTGTTCTTTTTGTCTTAACAAGTAAATCATCTGTCAACAAAATAAAGTCAATCCTAGAGAAGGATCTGTGTCTGTCAGAAAAAAAAGTATAGTCCAATTCTTTTGGATTATGTATTCTCCAAACATCTTTTAGTTCCATATCTTCTTTCATGTCAAAAAAGGTCTGTGGTAATCTGATTCTAGACTTTGCCAAACTCTTTTTATCTAATTTAGAATCAATTACTCCATTCCAGTCTCCCATAATTAAAATAGATCTGTAGTCCCATTGCAATATTTTAGTATGTAACATCTTATAGAAATAGTCCTGTTGTTGATTGGGAGCATAAATCCCAATCAGAAGAATTTGGCCATTTGCTGTAGACAATTCAATTGCTACAAACCTACCATCTTCATCTGTTTCTATAACTTTAGCTGTTAACTTTTTATTTACATAAATTACCACACCATTCTTTTTTTGCGAAGTTGAAGATATAAAATGTGTTCCTAGTTTGGAGTTTATCAAATATTTTTGATCTTGAGTTGTGATATGCGTTTCTTGTAAACAAATTATATCATTATTAAATTGTTTCAAATATGTAAATAATTTCTTCCTTTTCTGTGCTGAATTCAACCCATTAACATTCCAGGATAAGCACTTAAGCATCATCAGCCTCTTTCTGGAGCAAAGAGCAAAATAATTGAAGATCATCCGAAAGCTTCGATCTCGCTCCTCCCATAGCTCCAATCTCTTGTGCAGTACTCTTATCTGCCTCCTTGTCTTGTCTTTCCTGTTGTTGTTGTTGCTTTTGTTTAAGTAACTTAGCTTGAGCTCGAGTTATACGTTGATCCTTAACTTCAATCATCCGAACCGAGTCCAAGATTGGAGAAGATTCCAGCAAGGGCTCATCCAGAAAACCTCCTTCTGCACCTTGCACTTCTTCTAATTCCTGCTTAGACTGTTCTTGCAGTTCTCGTTGAGGTTGCTTCTCTTCACTCTCTTTAATCTCCAAAACTGTAGATGTACGTGGAGATGGTGTTCTTTCCTTAAGAATAGTAGTGTAGAAGTGCTGTGCCTTCTCCACGGTATTCAAACGGTATCTTTCTCCCTTGTATCTGAAAATTATGCCGACTGGTGCGTCCCACCGGAAAGGTATCTGTAAATTTTGCAATTCCTTAACAAGAAAACCAAATTCTTTTCTAGCTTTCAGCATTTTAGGAGGTAATTCTTTATAAATTCCAATTCGTGAGCCCCCCACTTGTACAGAAGTGTAAAAGGATTTTTGCAGGATATCGTTTCTTATTTCTCTATCTGTAAAGTATATGACCACATCTCTAGGTAATTGTCTTTGTCTGGCCACCCAAGAGTTCACTCTGTAAATTTTATCTATTTTGTGAAAAACCACATCTGGATTGACTTGTAAAATCTTAGCCAGGGCCTCAGAACAAACTTGCCTCAAATCCTGTCTTTCCTCCTCTCGAATTCCTCGAAGCCGTATAGCAAACTCCATTGCCCTGAATTGTATCATGACAATCTCGTTTTCAACTCTTTGCATTTTATTATCAGCATCAGCAATTTTATAATCATTGTCTTTCATCTTAACATTAACTTCTGATTTAAGTTCTTCAACTTTATAATCAACTTTGCCAATAAATTCTGCCAGGCCAGATGCCACTTCTGATATTTTTTTGGTCACCTTGTTTTGATTCTGTTTCACCATATCTTTAACTTCATTAATTTCTTGCATAAACTCCTGATGTGATTTTTGAAGTTTATCATCTATCTCCTGATGTGATTTTTGAAGTTTATCATCTATCTCCTGTAGAGATTTTTGAAATTTATCATCCAAAGTTTTAGAAATAAATTCTTTTAAATCTCCCACATCAAATTCTTTTTTCTGAGTCTGTAACTGTTGAGCAGGGGGAAGCTGCGTTTCATGTTTGTGTGTGGGGGATCCCCCCCCCTGTTGCCTTCCCTTCCTGCTTCTTTGAGGCCATCCTGCCACGTAGGCTAGTTTTTCTGAAGAGGGAAGTTCCTTTTCCTTTCCCTCCTGCACAAAGACTTCTAAAAAAGTCCCCCAGATTTAGTCAAATAAAACTGAAGTAAAACAAAGTCAAATTTTTAGAAAAAGAAATTTTTTCTTTAGGTAAAGCAACTTTGTAGCAGCTTTGTAGCTTTATAGCAAAGCAGGAAGGCTTCACAAATCCACTTTCACTAGCTCGTTAACTCAAATGCTGGGCGCCATATTTTTTCAAATCACTTTCACTCACTCGCTTTCTCTTTTGAATTAAAAAGTCAACAAAGCACTAATACTTGCAATTTTCAAGTTTCTGGATTCAAGTTGGTATTTCCGCTGTTTGTTAGGGTTAATTCCTTTCACTTTAAAGGTTTGCTGCTGCCGGCTTGTTCTGCTGAAGGCAGAATCGTCCCACGCCGCCCGGAGTCTCCGCAGGTTGGGAGGGAGCCGCGCCTGTTTTTTCCCCCAGAAACAATTCCCTGGGGGGTTACAGGGGCTCAACCTGTGCCCTGCTGTCTCTGCTCCTACAATCTTCAAGATTTTGGAGTTTTCGAGCCGCTCCTCGTTCGCGGGGCGGCTCTACAGGCGGCGGGGCTGCGGTCTTTAAAAAAACACCGCCGTCGCCGAAGCTTGCAAACCGGAAGTCCAAGGCTGGGTCAACTTTGAGCTGGTCAGGATTGAACTCTTGGCAGTGGGCAAGATTTAGCATTCTAACCACTGCACCACCATGTCTCCTATACTTCCTGTAGGAGTTATACCCACAAATGTAGAGTCCTTTTGAAAAACAGCATAACTGGTTTCCTCTGTTCAGGCATCGAACAACCAATAATGATCTTAATACAGCCTCTTGTAGAAGACCCATCAAGGTTGCTCTTTCATTAAATCATACAGATGTCTTTTCTACAAAAAATAGAAAGTCAGTGGCAGTTACTCTAACATACTTGTACTCAAACTGGTCCTCTCCTTATGCTCTGTGATTACAAGTTACAGTGACTGAGAATTGTGGACATTGCAATCCCAAAAATATAATTCTGCAATCTTCTGCCTAAATATGTTATTCTTCTGATACAAAATCTCCCTGTTAGAACGGGACTCTTGGGTTTAATTTGTGGCCACATTCAGATTGATTCTAAATTATAGTTTTAGATTATAGAATTGAATCTGTTGGTGTTCCTTACCTCAGTATAATAAAGATAAGTGTGGAAGCTCTCCATTTTTTCAATATTTAAATGCAGACAAACTTAATCAAAATTATTTTTATTAAACAAATCAACTTGATCAATTGAGTTGTCGCTCATTCACACAAATACGTACCTACTTAGATGCACAAGAGATTCTGTTATACAAAGTCTTAATCACTCTTTTAAATAGATTTTGAATGCTATTCCCAATAAAAATAAGATTACTTTGAAGTAGGTACAATTAAATAGCTACTTGTTTCTTTGTGTTATAACATACTCCACATGTGTGCAATAGATACAAGAATTAATCACTTGAAAGCGTTATGTGGAAGCAGCTTCTTAAAATAAGGATAATCTCTCTCTCTCTCTCTCTCTCTCTCCCTCTCCCTCTCTCTCTCTCTCACACACACACTCACACACACACACACACACACACACACATACACCCTGGACAATTTTCATTCAGTTTCCCATCTTCTCTTTCTGGGGAAAGTGGTGGAAAAGGTGGTTGCTCAGCACTTCCAGGATATCCTGAATGAAATGGATTTCCTGGATCCCTTTCAGTCAGCATTCAGGCCTGGCAATGGGACAGAGAAAGCTTTTGTTACACTCATGGATGACCTTTGGTGGGAGTGGGATTGGAGTAATGCAACCATTCTCATTCTCTTTGACCTCTCAGGGACTTTCAGTACTATCTACCATGGTATCCTTTTGGGGCATCTACATGAGTTGGGGCTAGGCAGCACAGTTTTGCTCAGTATTCTATCCTTTCTTGTTTAATATCTACATGAAGCTTTTGGGTGAGATTGTCCATCACCATGGGTTGAGATATCATCAATATGCTGATGATACTCAGCTCTTCACCTCTACACATGGTGACCCAAGTGATTCTGTCTCTATGTTCTCATGATGCCTTACAGCTGTAGAGACCTGGATGAGAGACAAAAGACAATGAATGGTTTGGGGCATGCCAATCCTCAGGATGTGAGTGTTTGTCAACCTTAATTCTGGACGGGATTGCACTAATCCATTCAGACAACCTAGGGGTTCTTATGGACCTATGTCTCCTGATTGAACAGCCGGTGGCAGTCATGACTGCCAGGAAACTTTTGCACAGCTCCAGTTTATGCACCAATTGTGACCTTTCCTGGATCATGACACCTGTGCTTAATTATTAAGCCCTGGTCATCTCTCACTTGGATTGCGCTCTATATGGGAGTACCCTTGAAGTCATATAGTAGTCATATAGTAGCTTCACCTGGTGCAAAGTGCAGCAGTGAGAGAAGTCCTTGGAGCCCTTATTACACCTCTGCTGTGTGAATTTCACTGGCTACTGGTCTGCTTCTGGGAAAGTTCAAAGTGTTGGTTATGATCTTTAAAGCCATAATGGCATAGTTACGTCCTGTCTGATGAACTACCTTGCCCCACTAGGACAAACCTGTCCTGCTTGTGCCAGCAGACAGGGCCTACTTCAGATCCCATTGGTAAAAGTCTAGCAAATAGGCTTAAATGTAAATATGCAGAACCTTAGACAAATCATGACTATTATCCTAAAAATAACATAATCCAAAGATTAGAACATAAGCCAATGGCTTTTATATCTGTGCTTCAAAAAACAGTATGAGCACAGTATGGCAACAAAGCTGTGGAATTAACCAAAATAACATTTCTTTACTAAATTCAGTTAAAGACACTGTAGGATAAGAAGTGTTTTAGTCTATGTTATCCAAATATCTGAGAAAGTCTAAAAGCCACTTTTCACCCTGTTAGATCCGGCGCAGGGAAAAGAAGACTGGACCAGCTCGATACATGAAGCAACTTTTATTCATTACAAAGTAACGAGTCAAGACTGCTGGCGCGCTGCCGGAGCTCTCCTTATATTCGCTCCCGGCAGACGCACCGCCCCTTGACAGGGATTCAAATCTCCCGCCCGATGGCTGGCAGCCAATCAGGGCGGATGTCCTTATAAGGACATAACACTCCTCCCCCCTTAGTCCGAAATGTCAATCTCATTCACAAACGTTACGTAGTCGCGCAGGTACGCCGGACGCCTCGGCACCCTAGCTGACCTGCGCAGTCTCACTTCTCCTCCGTCTCCGGCCTGGAAGGACGGGGCTCTTTCGTCTCCTGGTTCCCTCTCCGGAACCGGGCTCGGTTCGGCTGTCGAGTGAGCGGGGCCACCCCCAGCGCCTCCGGCCGGACCGCAGACCTTGGGTCGCTGGTCCTGGTGGTCTTCCTCCTGTCCTGTGGATCTCTCGCCTCGCCTCGGCTGCTCGGTTCCGACCCGGGAAGAGCGTCTGAGTCTCGGTAAGTCCATTTCTTGCTCTTCCCTGGTCTCCCGGGCGCTGTGGTTCGGTCTCGGTCCGGCTTGCTGCCGCTCGGGTGGCGGTTCCGCTCGGTTCGGGTGGTGCTGGCTCTCGTTGTTGTTGTTGTGCCGTCCGACCTCGCAGGGGTGGCGTTGGTCCCCTCGGTTGGGCTGGCGTCGGTCTACCTTGTCTGGCTGGCGGTGGTCGACCTGGTCGGGGTGTTGTTGCGGTGCTACCTCCGCGGGGCGGCAGAGGTCTCCCCTGCCGGGGTGGTGCAGGTCTCCCTGGCCGGGTTGTTGTCGACTTCCCCTTCCCCCTAGTCCCTGGTCTACCGTTGGTTGGTGCCTGGGGCCATCCTGGTCGGGGTGTCGTTTCTTGGCTGTCTCTTGTGATGGGCGGGGGTCCCCCACGTCGGTGAGTAGTGTGCCACCCTCGCCCGTGGGTCGTGGGTTGCCCGTCTTGGCTGAGTCCCGGTCTACTCGCCTTGAACTGCAGTCTCCCTGGCTGGGCTGGCATGGGCTGCTGTCACTGGTGGGGTGCGTTGCTCCTCCTCTGGGCAGGTCCCGGTCTACCTGCGGGCTGGGTTGGTGGTCCCTGGCCTTGCTGTGCCCGGTGCCCACCTGGCTGGGTTGTTGTTGCCATCCTCCGTGCGGTTGGCCCCGGTCTACCTCGCTGGGCTGCCGGCGTGACAGCATCTGGTAGTGGGCTGGGCCGACCTTGACGGGGTGGTGCTGCTCTGCCTCGCAGGGGTGTGGTAGGCCTACCTCGTCGGGGTGTCGTAGGCCTACCTCGCCGGGTTGTTGTAGGCCTACCGGGTCTGGGTGTGGTAGGCCTACCTCGCTGGGGTGTTGGAGGTCTACCTCATCGGGGTGTTGTAGGCCTCCCTCGTCAGGCTGGTTTTCATGCGCTCCTCCCCACCTTTTTCGGAGTTGGTCGATGTGACGTCTCGCGAACTGTCCATCTTCCAACTCGACGATGTATGATTTGGGGCCGGTTGTGCTGGCAATCTTCCCCTTCAGCCACTTAGGAGAGCCGCTGAAGTTCAGCGCGAAAATTGAATCTCCGTTGCTGAAGGCGCGAAGCGGGCGGCTGGCGGTTGCGGTCACTTCCGGGCTGTATTGGGGGTGCAGCCGGTCCAAGGGTGACCTCAACCTTCTGCCCATCAACAGTTCGGCCGGGCTCTTGTGGGTGGTGGCGTGTGGCGTGATGTGCTGGGTGAGGAGGAAATTGTCTATGCGCTCTTGCCAGTCCCCCGGGCCCATCTTGGTGAGGGCCTCTTTGGTCAGTCGGACCATGCGTTCCGCTTGTCCGTTTCCGGCCGGCCTGTAAGGGGCGGACAGGGCGTGGCGGATGCCCAGTCCCGCCAGGAAGGATTCCATGGCCAAGGATGTGAGCTGGGGGCCGTTGTCTGAGACCAGCACATCCGGTAGACCATGAGTGGCGAAGAGACGGCGCAGGGCTCGGATCGTCGCGTCCGTTGTGGTAGATGCCATGGGCACCACCTTGAGCCATTTGGAGAAGGCATCTACCACGATGAGGAGGTGTCGCCCCTGCATCGGACCCGCGAAGTCAATGTGGACCCTCGACCAGGGGTTGCCGGGGGTCTCCCACTTCGCGACCTCGGATTGCGGCGGCGCTGGGCGAACTTCTTGGCACGGGTCACATCTGGAGACCCATTGTTCAATGTCTTTGTCCATGGAGGGCCACCAGACATAACTCCGTGCCAGTGCCTTCATGCGGACGATGCCCGGGTGCCCCTTGTGCAAGGTCTCCAACGTTCGCCGTTGCAGAGTGCTTGGAATCAGCACCCTGTCTCCCCATAGCAGACAGCCCTTCATGGTGGACAGCTCCTCCTGTTTCCTGGCGAACGGGCTGAATCTTTCCTCTGGCTTTCCCGACGGCCACCCTCTGAGGATCCAGGATTTCACTGTGCGGAGTGTGGGGTCCTTTTGGGTGTGGACGGCCACATCTGCGGATGACACCGGGCAGCTGGCGTCGTCATCAATGTGCAGTAGGTGGAGTGTGGGGGCTGGGTCTTCGACCGGCTTCTTCGACGGGCATCTGCTGAGGGCGTCGGCGTTTCCTATGGCTGTGCCTGGCTGGTGCACGAGCCTATAGGAGTAGCCCGCTAGGAAGATTGCCCATCTCGTCATTCTCGGGGACATGAAGGTCGGGGTTGGTTGGTCGCCTGCGAGGAGTCCCAGGAGAGGCTTGTGGTCTGTGACTATGGTGAAGCTTCTTCCGTAGAGGTATTCGTGGAAGCGCTTCACTCCAGCCACGATGGCCAGGGCTTCTTTGTCCAGCTGGCTATAGTTCCGTTCTGCGCCGGACATAGTCTTTGAGAAGTACGCGATTGGGGCTTCCGAGCCATTGGGCAGTTCGTGGCTGAGGACTGCCCCCACTCCGTAAGGCGACGCGTCGCAGGTTAGTCTGATGGGAAGCGTCTCGCTGTACTGAATGAGTACGCTTTTGGACGTCAATAGTCCTTTGATGGCCCGGAATGCCGCTTCCTCTTCCTGGCCCCACTTCCAGGAAGCCGATTTTCCCAGCAGGCGGTGGAGTGGCTCAGCAACTGTGGCTTTCTGTTTTAAAAAAATGGCGTAAAAGTTGAGCAACCCAAGGAAAGCCTGAAGCTCCGTTTTGTTTTTTGGGCTTGGAGCTTCATGGATTGCTTCCACTTTTGATTTGGTGGGGTGGATGCCTGTGCTATCAATGAGGAAGCCCAGGAACTCGACTTCCTGTACTCCTATGATGCACTTGTCCCGCCTGACCCTCAAACCCTTGGCCTTGAACCGCTGCAGGACAAGCCTGAGCCTTTCAAGGAGTTGGGTTCTTGAGTCACCGGAGATGAGCACATCATCGAAGTAAGGCACCACCCCTGGAACGCCTTGGAGAAGGCGTTCCATCATGGATTGGAAGATGCCAGGGGCAGCGCTGACTCCAAATTGGAGGCGGTTGCATTTAAATGCCCCTCTGTGCGTGACAATTGTTTGAGCCTCCGCCGTTTTGTCATCCACTGGCAGTTGCTGGTAAGCCTGGGCCAGGTCCAGTTTCGCGAAAATTGATCCAGATCCCAGGGAATGCAGCAGATGTTGCACCACTGGGACTGGGTATGCGCTCTGTGCCAACGCCTTGTTGATGGTACAACGGTAGTCAGCACAGATGCGCACAGACCCATCATGCTTCAGTGGGGTCACAATGGGGGTCTCCCATGAGGCATGATCGATCGGTTCCAGGACGCCCTGGGCGATCAGCTTATCCAGCTGCTCATCTACTTTAGGCCACAGGGCAAATGGAACTCGGCGGGGCTTGAGCCTGATTGGGGTGATTCCCTTGTCCAGATTAAAGGAGATTGGCCTCCCCACAAATTTCCCCAGCTTACCATCGAAGACTTCTTTGAACTCTTCGATGATGGAGTCGAGTTCGTCCCTGCGGATCTCGTGGATGCCCTGAAGTGAAAGTCCCAGCGGCTTGAACCACTCCACACCCAACAGGTTCGGTCGGCTGTGCTGCACAATGGTGATGGGTAGCTTTCCGTTGAAGTCGTTGTACTTCACCCGGATTGTGGCTCTGCCTAGGATTTCAATGGGGTTCCCGTTGAAGTCCACAAGTCTCGCCTTCGGGGTTTTCAGCTGGGTCCTTTTGTATGCCGGGTTCAGCTGCTGTAGGTGCTGCCAGTCCATGATGGAGTAGGCGGATCCGGAGTCTACCTCCATCTTGCACGGAGACCCCTCTGCTAGCAGCGTCACGTGGAACTTGGTGGTTCCCTCGTCGCTTGTGTGAGCAATGGTGGTGGTCTGGTGCACCGTCCTGTTGCGGGGATATTCCTCCTCCCCGCGCCGGGACTGGTTTGAGGACCGTTTGGATGTCCTCTGGTTATCTTTGCGATTTTCCCTGAATCGTGGTCTGGGTGGTTCCGGGGCTGGATCTGTGGCTCTGCAGGCCTCTGCGATGTGGCCCCTCTTCAGGCATCGGCGGCAGGTCGCGTCCCTCCATCTGCAGTTTGCCCTGGGGTGGTCGCCTCTGCAGCTGCCGCATCGCTCTCCCCGGTCGCCATGCTGTGGGTTTTCCCGCCTGGGAGGGCGGGACACCTTGTGGACGGCCATTTCCTCATCAGACTCGGATTGAGTAGTTGCCTCGTCTGATGAGGTCGGGCCCGACTTGTGGAACTTATGGATCCCCCTTGCTTTTACCATCGCGGCGGCTGCTTGCTCAGACGTTTCAGCCGCCGTTGCCTCGTCGAGGACATCTTTGAGCGGAATCTTCTTCCGGCTGAGGAACTTCTTCTGCAGCCCCACATCTCGCATTCCAAACACAATGCGGTCCCGGATGGCATTGTCCACATTGTCGAACTCGCAGTTGGCAGCGATTTGGCGAAGCGCTGCCACGAATTCCTTGATGGATTCACCTTCCCGCTGGTTTCTTTGCTGGAAGGTGAACCTGTTTGCGATGGGGGTGCCTGTAGGTGCATAGTGCTCCTGTAGGACTTCCTGCAGGTCGTTCCAGGACATCTCCTCGATGTCCCTGGGTGCCACGAGGTCAATCGCCATCTCCAGAACGTCCGATCCGCAATGAGCCAGGAAGAGGGCTCTTTTTCTCTCCTCATCGAGGTTCTGGTATCCATTGCCTCGCAGGAACTGCCGGAATCGGACCATGTATGACCTCCACTTCTCCCGGGATGGGTCGAACGGGTTCAGCGCGGTCATCGGGGCTTGCGGGGTGGCCATTCTGGAAGATCGCTGTGGTGTGGTGATTTTGTTCGGTGGGCGATCGTGCCAAGAGTCTTGTGAAGGTTCTTCTCTCTAGTCCTTCGTCGCCAGTGTTAGATCCGGCGCAGGGAAAAGAAGACTGGACCAGCTCGATACATGAAGCAACTTTTATTCATTACAAAGTAACGAGTCAAGACTGCTGGCGCGCTGCCGGAGCTCTCCTTATATTCGCTCCCGGCAGACGCACCGCCCCTTGACAGGGATTCAAATCTCCCGCCCGATGGCTGGCAGCCAATCAGGGCGGATGTCCTTATAAGGACATAACACACCCTAAGACATTTCATTAAAGGCAAACACTTTAATGAGATGCAGTTTCATTTCATCAGATACCAGGGAGTGACTGAAATGATGTAGGATTTACTTGATAAAGTACTTGTAACTTGTTTCAATTTAAATCCTACATCAATGCTACCAGAATCTTCTTGACTTTAAAATTTAATCTAAATCATTCTTAGTCCTACGTACTCATACCTGGATGTTGGATGGTTCGGAGGAAGGAAACAGGTCTTATATTACCTTAGATATAAATAAATACTAAATATCAAACTTTGGCATGAAGAATAAACATATCCGTCTTCTTTTTGGTTTACTATATTAATATATTCAGATATATAGAGTATATAGGAAAATGAATATAACTGCTCATGCACAGTTCATAAGATTGGTATTACCAAACACTTCTATACCATATATTCCTTCAGTTTAAAATTTTATTAACACTAAAATAGAATAACTATTCAGACCAATCATTTCAAATGTATATCATTTTCTTCTCACTGTGCTATAACCAGCATTCCTACTTTTTATTGCAAAATTTGCCTTCTCTCCTCTCTTGTACTATTTACTCAGAAGGAATTTCTGTTCCTAATTCAGGGTATACTGAGAGTTGAATTCCCTACAGCCACCTAGATGCATGTCATTTACATAGTATATGCAATGACATATTCTTGACTATATACTATACATCAGCAATAAATCCATAGATCTGTCTTTCTCATTTGGTCGTGTGTATAACAATTGTCTCCATTATTTTCTCTCTCTTTTTTTTAGAATTAGAATAGAATAGAGCTGGAAGGGACCTTGGAGGTCTTCTAGTCCATTTCCCTGCTCAAACAGGAGAATCTAAACAATCTCAGATAAGTGACTGTCTAAGCTCTTCTTAAAAACCTCCAGTGATAGAGCAACTACGATTTCTGAAGGCAAGCTGGTTAATTGTCCTTACTGTTAGGACGTTTTTCCTTAATTCCAGGTTGCTTTGATTAGTTTCCAACCATTATTTCTTGCCCTGCCCTCTAGTGCTTTGTAGAATAATTTGACCCCCTCTTCTTTGTGGCAGCCCCTTAAATACTGAAATACTGCTATCATGTCACCCCTAATTCTTCTTTTCTTTAGACTAGCCAGGCCCAAAATCTGCAGCCTTTCTTCATATGGTTTAGTCTCGAGGCCTTTCATCATCTTAGTTGCTCTTCTCTGAACTTTTTCCAAAGTCTCAATTATGGTGATCAAAATTGCTTGCAATATTCCAGGTATGGTCTTACTAGGGTTTTGTAAGGCGGCACTAATACTTCATGTGATCTTGATTCTATGCCTGTTTATACAACTCAGGGTTGTATTAGCTGTTTTGGCTGCTGTTGCACATTGCTGGCTCATATTCAAATGATCATCCACTAGGATTCCAAGTGGATGATCCCTCTCACAGTTACTGTTTTTGAGCCATATCTCACCTAATCTGTATTTATACATTTGATTTTTTCCTGCCTAAATGTAAAACCTTGCTTTTCTCCACATTAAAATTCATTTTGTTGGATAGGACACATTGTTCAAGTTTGTCAAGATCTTTTTGGATCCTGAATTTGTCTTCTGGGGTATTGGCAATTCTTGCATGTTAGTATCATCGCAAACTTGATGAGTTCTATTCCCTCATCTAAGTCATTTATATTGAAGAGTACTGGGCCTAAGTTGGAGCCTTGTGGTATCCCACTGTTTACTTCTTTTCATGTGGATGTAGTACCATTAAGGACTACTCATTGAGTACGGTTTGTCAGCCAGCTACAAATCCATCTGGTGGTGATGTTGTCTATTTCCTGTGTCTGTTATTGTTGTTTTTTCCTTTCTTGAAGATGGGAACCACATTAGCCCTTTTCCAATCCTCAGATTCTTCCCCTGTGCTCTAGGATTTTTAAAAGATTTGGTACAGTGGTTCTGAGATACCATCTGCCAGCTCCTTCAGAACTCTGGGATGTAATCTGTCAGGTCCTGGTGATTTATATTCATCAAGGTCAGATAGGTGTTCTCTTACCATTTTCTTGCTTATTTTAATTTTTATTTCTGGTTTGTCTTTTACAGTAGCTTTTTTGGTACATCGGGCTATAATTTCTTTTTGCATGAAGATTGATGCAAAGAACAAGTTAAGCAGCTCTGCTTTCTCCCTACTGTCTGTTACATCTTGCCATCTTCTCTCTTTAGTGGACCTACTGTTTCCTTTACTTTTTTCTAGTTATTAATGTGTTGGAAGAAACTTTATTATTATTTTTGACTTTTGTAGCAAGCCTTAGTTCATTCTGAGCCTTTGCTTTCCCGACTTTGTCTTTGCACGTTCTGGCTATCTGCTGATA